CCTGCAAGGGTTGCTGGCCATAGAACTCCAGCGCCCAATCGCTCGATTCCCCCTCGACCTGGGCGAGGACGGGCTTGAAGTAGGCTGCCATACTGCGATGCATATTACCCGAAACCCTAAACCCTAAACCCTAAACCCTAAACCCTAAACCCTAAATCCTAAACCCTAAATCCTAAAGCCTAAACCCTAAATCCTAAACCCTAAACCCTAAACCCCAAACCCCGAACAGTTCAGGGCGCTAAGGGCTCGAGGCCTTCCGGGGTTCTCAGCTGGGCCCGGAGGCTCTCAGTAAGAGGCCCCGCCAATCGCAGGGCCCCGTTCGCTCCAGATTCTGAAACACTTGGATTTAGGGTTTAGGGGGTTTAGAGGGTTTAGGGGGTTTAGGGGGTTTAGAGGGTTTAGAGGGTTTAGAGGGTTTAGAGGGTTTGGAGGGTTTAGAGGGTTTAGGTGGTTTTAGGTGTGCGGCGTAGGCGGTCTTAAGATTTAGGGTTTGGGAGCGGGTGCTTAGATCCCTACGTTCCATCTGAATTAATGCAAGCTCACGAAAAGTCTGTGACCTCAGTGAAGCAAGAAAAGGGTCTCATCGGGCAGCGCTTAAACACTTGGGTTGGGTTCTTTTGAAGATCGATTGCGTAGACGGAGGGTCTTGGTCTTCACTTCGTATAAGAAGGGAACGCCGTCGGCCCGCTTGTGGATGGTCGAAGGCCCGCTCCTTCCCAATCCACCAGCTAACGTCCAGGGAGCGGTTGTGCAGGAACTGGGCTTCGCTACTCGGCCCAGACTGCCCACTCTTTGATGATGTGGGTGGCTGTCAAAATTAGGATCCCTTTTTGGGGTCCCCTAAATATTAGGTGCTGTATTCTAGAAGGGATCCAAAAAGGGATCATCATTTTGACAACCACCCAACGTAGTGCTGGTGCTTCGAACGCTCTATGTCAACTTTCGCAACCAGCCTCACAAGCGTGATGTTTCTCCAGTGGTTCTCCGAGGCGCGTCTGCTCGCTCTGGAGGAGATCGCACTGCTTCTTGCCATTGAAACTCGGCCAGGCCAAGTTAACCCTGGCCACAAAACAAGCAAAGCTGCCCTGGAGCCTAAATACCCTCAACCCTAAACCCCAATCCTGAAGAGTATCGTTTTCTTGTGGCAACGCAAGATTGAAATTCCCAAACGCCCAGAAAACCTCTTTAACCCTCAAGCCTAAAGCCCAAAAAAGCCCAGATGGTCACTACCCTAACGCCCTAATTTTCAGGTAGCCAAGAGGGATCATTTTGTGAAATGACCATATAGCCCCTACAGCCCTAAACCCAGAAAGTCCTAAAGCCCTGAAATCTGTAAACGCTATTCACACCATTAACCCCTCAAATGCCCTCAACCCTTGGGAACAAACTCCCTCTGCCCTGCAACCCGAACAGCGCTAATAATCAACCTAAACCTTGAACCCCTAAACACCAAACCCCTAAACCCCAAACCCTAAACCCCAAACCCCTCAACCCCAAACCTCAAACCCTAAACCCTAAACCCCAAACTCGCTTTGCAACGCAACACAACAAGCCTAAACCCTAAACCCTAAACCCTAAACCCCAAACCCTAAACCCCAAACTCGAAAACGTAGGGCGGCCGACGCTGGGATTCGCGAGGACGTCGATGCGAAAAGCGTAGCAGACGCCGGCTTGCAGGCCTCGGGGCCTGGGGCTTCTTTTTGGGGGCGCGTTTCGGCTCTGGTCCTTTTTGGGGGCGGTTTAGGGTTTAGGGTTTAGGCTTAGGGTTTAGGGTTTAGGGTTTAGGGGCGCCTTACTTGAGGGAACTACCTTTTTTGGCAGGGCCGGGGGGGGGGGGGGGGCAAGAAGGGATCCCTTGTCCCTAAGCTTCCTTCGGGTGACCTCCCAGCTTTGATCTCATAATCCCCAGCCCCGCTGTGTTTAGGGTTTATGGGGCGTGGAAGGAAGAAGAACGTCCGCTGGTCTTAAGGCGGACTCCGGAGGGACTAAAGTTCTGGTTCGAAGTCCCCGAGCTGCTGAAGGAACACATCGAGGCGAGAGAGCTGGCTGGAGACTTCACACAGGGCATTGTTCACGATGTGCAGTAGTCCTGGTATCGCTACAGCCTGTGGAAGAAATGCAGCCCTCTCATTCCTTGGACTGACAGGGGGCTGCCGTGCCAGCTGGCCGCGCTTCCAAAGGACTGGGTTCCGCCACCCAATCGGGACTCGGTTCAGGCCACCGGCACTTATCCGGCTGCAGCATGTCTGGGAACTCTGCAAGAAGCCTTCCGAATCCGCCCAACTTGAACAAGGCGCGTCCTTCTGAGAAGTGGATTTGATTGCATTTCACAAAGAGTTCGGCGGTTCCCAAGAAGGTTTTGGGCGGTCGCCGGGGGGGGGGGGCATTACCCTAAACCCTAAACTCTAAACCCTAAACCCTAAACCTCTTTTTTACCAGCTGAGCGTTCTTGGGGTTTCGGACTTTGGGTCTGTTTAGGACTCTGGGGGACCTGAGGCTTTTTTCTGAGCGGATCAGTTTTATACCTTTATAAGAGCCATGCGTTCTGTTCTACAAGGCTCTAGACTTAGGGTTTAGGGTTTAGGGTTTAGGGTTTAGGGTTTAGGGTTTAGAGTCTTCCCTGAAGATCCCTCGTCTGCCCGTGCTTTGCATGCACTGAGCCAGCGTCAAGCTGTAACCCCTAACCCTCACCACCCACCCTTGCACCCTAAAAGCCCAGAACGCCGAAACCTGGAGGTAGAACGCATCTTAAAGCCTTGTAAACCTTTTAACCCTCAACTGTCATTTAGATCACATCCCCCTTTTGCTACATCCTATCAGCGGAGAATGAGCGCGAGCCTTGCACCCTAAACTCGATAAACCCTACATCCTAAACCCAACCCATTGTGATATACCCGAACATACCCTCAACCCTATACCCTATCACAAGATTTGTGTTGAAACCTTATAACCCTATGATAGAAGACGCCCTCAACAAAATTAAACCTGAAACCCTAATCCCAAAACCCTACCGCATAATTACCCTAAACCCTAAACCCTAAACCCTAAACCCTAAACCCTAAACCCTAAACCCTAAACCCTAACCCTAAACCCTAAACCTCCCAAGCCCTTCATAGCTGGGGCCGGGGCCCTTGGATCTCAATGGTGGCGGTGCTGCCTTCAGATTCGCAGGGTCTTAGGGGGTTTTGAGGCCTTAGGGTTTAGGGTTTCGGGTTAAGGGGGTTTAGGGTTTAGGGTTTAGGGTTTAGGGTTTAGGGGGTTTTGGGGTTGGAGGGGGTTTAGGGGGGTTTGGGTGTCTAGGGGTTTTGGGAGTTCAGGGCTTAGGGTTTAGACTTAGGGTTTAGGAGTTTTGGGGCTTGTAAATTTTTGGGAGTCCAGGGTTTATATGAAGTAGGGTTTATATTTCTTGTATCCCCAAAAGGACACCCAGTATATACACTCACCAATATTAAAAAGGAACCTTATATACACTCACCAAAAACAGAAATATATACCCTGCTTCATATAGGGTTTAGGGCTTGAGGTGGGGGTTGCACGGGTTCTAGGGGTTTAGGGCTGTAGTGTTCAGGGGCTATTAGGGCTTTTCCAGGGTTTGGCGCTCTCGAGTGTCTGGAAACCCGTGCGTCTAAATCCCATCCTGATGACTTGGGGGAACCCAGATGCTGACATCCCTAACCCATAACCCCTACACCCTAAACCCCATAACACTAAGCTGTTGAGGGTTTAGGGTTACACAAACCATAAAAAAGGACAAATCCTTCAACCCTAAACACTAAACCACGAACCATATAAACCCTAAACCCTACAACCCGCAAAGCCCTTAAAGCCCAAGAGTCTTCACAGCGAAAATAGGTAACCTCGAGGCTCCGGTGTTCCGTGCAACGAGTTAAGAGCTGGGTCCTCTGTAGGGGGGCAGGGTCTGGGGATGTGCCAGAGCGTGTTCTAACAGGGCTTCCCTTACCCCAAGCGCCCTAAACCCTGTAGAAACTCTATAGGATTAGGGTTGAGGGTTTTGGGAAACTCGAAAGACCCTAACGTAGAGAACTGCACATGTGGGCGCCCTCGAGAGCTTCATCTTTTTCCCTGCACATTCTTCCGCTCGAATGTGCGAAGCTTAGTCGTGGCTGCACTCGGCTCCGTTCACGTCAGGGAGATACACACACACACACAATCAACACGCCCATAAGCTGGACCCAAGAATACCCTAGGAATAAACAGGGTGCCCTTTTTGGTTTAAAGGGGCTTCTTATAAGAGAACCCAAAAAAAAGAGAATAAGGGCCTACTCTGGGTCCTAGTAAAAAAGTACAGCGAAAGTAGGTGGCATGAGTGCTATCACGCGGAACTGACTCCCATGGTGTGAGACCGAAGTGTACGGAGGCTGTCGGCATTGCGCCATAAAGTGTAGGGTTTAGGGTTTAGGGTTTAGGGCTTAGGGCTTAGGGTTTAGGGTTTCGTGTTTAGGGCTTAGGGTTTAGGGTTTAGGGGGAGCATGGCGCAGAGGTGGCAAAGCTCAAGCACTGCCACGCCACTGCACTGACATGCTTCCCTTCTACTCACCAACTGCTAGACCCGGGAGTAACCTAGGAAAAAAAGGGTGCCCTTTTTGGTGTTAAGGGAGCCCCAAGCCTAAAAAAAGGAAAAAAGAGCCTACTCCCGGTCCTAGCTTGTGCTTACACTGCCGGGCTCGGACTTTGAAAATGATCTCCCTAAGCCTTACAATCAGGCGGGGTCGATCTCTGCGGCGCACCAGACCGAGAGCCTCTGTACTCGGTGCACTAAAATCTCAGACTTCCTTGGTAGCACAACTTCATGGGGAGCCTGTGGGGGGGGGGGCCTAAAATACCTCTCCAACAACCACGGAACAAAAGTTAACTGTATTAGTTCCTACAAGAGAAGGAAGCACGATAAGCTTAAAGCTCAACCATGGGAGTTAGTAAGTAGTCCTCATGTACACCCCTTACACCCCGCACCTCCCCATGACCCTGGAGTAGAGAGAGTCTTAGAGCTCATCGTCATACTCTGGATCCAGGATTTCCTGGTTCGCCGAATTCCATGCCCAGATGTTGGCCGACCACTTCTCCCCACTGCTCACCTTGCACACATTTAGAGTTTTTGGGGGTTTAGGCTTTCGAGCTTTAAAACCCTAAACCCTAAACCCTAAACTCTACAGTGTTCTGTGACGGTGCTGGGATTTGGGCCGGTTGAGGCCTTCGCTTCCGCATGGGGCGGGTTTCGTGTGGGAGTCCAGTGGCCGAGAGCCTCCAAAGGTGCGCTAGGACATGCTTACAAGGGTACTTGGAGGTTCAGGGTACTGATCAACTTATTTTTTTGCTGTACTTATAACCCACTTATAAGCCCCTTAAGTGCCCTAATATGGTTATGATTGGGTTTTAAGTGCAGTTACTTTTGGGTTAATAAGTATTGATCATGAACCTCCAAGTAAAGGGGTTCGTCACTGAGTGACCCTAAAACCTCAAGAAAGCCCCAAAAAATCCCGAGTCCCGAAACCCCAAACCCTCCAGGTATCAGACGCTTTGAAGTCGTGGGAAAGCTCAACGTCGCCCCGACAGTATCGGGGTTTAGGGTGTAGGGCTTAGGGTTTGAAATACCTTGGAGGCCCCTCTTCTGAGAAGTGTTTTGGTGGATCCACCCTTTTCATGGGGTTCGGCATTAATCGCAGGAGGAGGGTTTTGGGTTTAGGGCAACGAAAAGTTACGACTACTTATGGCTAGAAGGCTTATGCTTTCTGCGGGGGTTTCCTAAACCCTAAACCCGAGACCCCAGACCGCACGAATCATATGCATACTGCGTGCGCGATAAAAAAACAACTAGTAAAAGGAAGAAAGAACAAGGAAAAGGGCGTGTGCTCACTCTTCATCTTCGTTGGCACACTATTTTAACACAACTTAGTACGGGCAGAAGACCCCCCCCCATTTTCTTTATCTGTCTTATGGGGTCTTTTGTGCGTTCACTTAAGACTTAACCTCGGACATAGTGACAGTGAAGAAGATACCGCTCTCTTGCTTAGGCAACATTCTCAATACTGAAATGGGAAGCGAATGCGCGTGTGTTTGTAGTATTGGTAATGCGTTTATTGGTGGGCAGTTAAGGTGTGATGAGACGGATGGCATACGAAAGGAGAAGTACAGGTTCAACCCCCTGAGCCCCGAAACCCGAAACCCGAAACCCGAAACCCTAAACCCTAAACCCTAAAACCCAAACCCCTAAACCCTAAACCCTAAACCCTAACCCCCTGAACCCCTAAACCCTAAGCCGATTCTCCCCGGGGCCTTGCAGCCTGCGTGGTTGGACGAGCGATCGAGCCGCCCATCTGCATGCAGATTGTAGAACCTTCGGCTCCCAAATTTCTTAAACCCCATTCAACGACTAACACCCTAAAACCCGAAAACCCCAAAAACCCTAAAGAACCCTGAAGAACCCTAAAGAACCCTAAAGAACCCTAAAATCTCTACATCCCTATAATACCCCCCCCCCCCCCCATAAACACTATAAACCCCTAAAACCCCCAAAGCCCGAAACCTACAGAACCCTGAACCCCGTCTCTACGTCCATCTGCTCGGCACGGCATTGTTCTGGCATCTCCAACCCTATATACTCCCCTTAGAACCTTACCAAAAAATGTATGTTCAATATTCCCTTGGGGTTTATACACATAAAATACAGGGAAACAAAATTCGGGCCCCCAAAAAAACCCTTCATTGAGGGTTTTGGGTTTAGGGCGCACCGCCAGTCAAAGGATTCCTATTCTGACTTACGGGATCATCCTTCCAAGGCCCCAAAACCCTGAACCCCTAAACCCTAAACGCCAACACCCGAAAACCTTCTATCCCTATAGTCGTAAAGCCCTAAACCCTAAACCCTTAAGACCCCTGAAGACCTGAACCCCATAAAACCCTGAACCCCTAAAACCCTAATCCCAAACCTTGTGATGGGAAGCCCGCTGGGCTCTCTCTCTCTCTATTTCTTTCTTTCTTTCTTTCTTTCTTTCTTTCTTTCTTTCTTTCTTTCTTCTTCTTCTTCCTCTTCGTGTTCTTCTTCTTCTGCTTCTTCTTCTTTACAAAGCCCGATAACACCCGCATAAACCCTAAACCCTAAACCCTAAACCCTAAACCCTAAACCCTAAACCCTAAACGCAAAACTCTCTCTCTCTCTCTCTCTCTCGGGGCAGGTCGGCCCTCCAGTGAGCCGAGGAGCAACACTGCCTTGCCTCGCTTCGCTGGCACCTGCGGTTTAGGGTCTATAGGGTTTAGGGTCTAGGGTTTAGGGTTTGGGGTTTAGGGTCTATAAGGTCTGTGGGGTTTAGGGTTTAACGGTTTAGGGTTTAGGGCTTCGGGGAAATGACCGGGAAGCCACAACGCACAGGACCAAGGAGCTTGGAAAGGTATCCGGATCCCCAGTCGAACTTTCAGTTAGAAGCAGAGGGTTCCTAAGCCCCTTCTATACCAGCGCTCTGCTCGCTGAACTTTGCGAACCCTAGACCCTAGACCCTAAACCTAAACCCTAAACCCTAAAACCCTAAACCCTAAACCCTAAACCCCAAACCCTAAACCCTAAACCCTAAACCCTAAACCCCAAGCCGCAGCTGCCATATGAGAACTATGACATCTTGTGCCGGAGCTTGGGGGGCTTCCTGGCTTTCAGGTTGGGGTTGCACAGGTTCAGCTTAGGGCTTGCTCAGAAGCTCTTTTGACTTAGTAAGTCTATTTACTATCTCTAGAGACCCTCTTATAATCCCCATACCCCACCCAACCTTACTCAAACCTACGTACTAAGTCACAAGGGCTTCCAAGTGGGGTAGCAAGACCTTCGGGGGCTTTTTAGGGCTTAGGTTTTAGGGCTCAGGGTGCCCCCGATACAACAGACACTTGTGAGCCGCCCCACTTCTCCAATTTTCCGACGCCCCGTGACCTAGCTGAAAAACGAAACCTCAGCCCACCTGGTCAGACATATGAAGCTTGAACAGTAGGTTCGCGCTACGGAACGTAAGTTGAGTTTCCACGGCAAGTGAACAAAATATGGTATTTGGTAGGTTACCAGGTATCCAAAGCTTCTCATAACTTGAAATCAGTTCCATCAGCTTCCCTGAACCCGAAATAGCTGCACATCTCGGCAGAAGGGGCCGCCCCTTCCGCGCTCAAAACCCACGAAGACAGCAACCCATGTACCCTCAAAGCCCCGACTCCTGAACTCTAAATACACAGGGCCCGTAAGGGAATACTAGTAGTATTTATTCCGACCCCTATAGTATGTTTTGCCTCATTACCAAAAGCATGTTGAACAGCCCCTTGCAACTCCAAATACCCAGACCATGAGGAGCCCTGATCCCTAAGCAACGTTAAGCATGTCTATAAGGAGTTTAGGGTTCAGGGTTTTGGGTTTAAGGGTTTAGGTATAAACGCTAAGCTCAACGGCTCAGACCCACCTGCGGGAATCTCCCAAGGAGGTCTTCCCAAAAACTCCCTTCGAAAATGTAAACCCTTCATGTAGGAATCCCCCCAACAAGAGCCCTGCATAAACCATTAACCCTATTGTCCTTACAAATCCTAAACAACCCCTGTCAACCCTAAACACCCCCAAAATCACAAAACACCAAAACCCCGAAACCCCACCTAAACCCCTAAACCCTAAACCCTAAACCCTAATCTCTAAACCCTAAACCCTAAACCCTAAACCCCAAACCCCTAAACCCCAAACCGCAAACCCCTCCGCCTGCAGCCAGGAGCTGCAATCCTCCGGATCCATGGGGCGCGGCGCGCCGTAGGCCATGGGAAAGGCCGTCTGGCCGCCTCTGGGAAGCTGAGTAGCCCAGTAACCATATGGGTAGTTCTCTAAATACGGTCCCTTTTTGGGTACCCATTATAAGGCGTCACCCTTTAAAAAGGACCCCCCAAAAAGGTACACTAATTTAGAGAGCTACCCATATTATAACCCTAAACCCTAAACCCTCAACCCTAAACCCTCAACCCTAAACCCTGTTTTTGGTTGGCTACTTTATGAGGGAACCCAGAACCAAGAAAAAGGGCACAGGGTACCACTGGGCTACCAAGGAAGTTCGGTCTTTGGAAGAACTGCGGCTTGCTGCTTGGTTTAGGGTTTAGGGTTTAGGGTTTAGGGGTTAGGGGTTTAGGGAGGTTTGGGGGGTTTGGTTGGGTTTAGGGGGGTTTGGGGGTTTAGGGGGTTGAAATTCTTCAAGACTCGGAGACCGGTCGGGAAACTCTCCGGGTTTGTGAAAGGTGGAAAAGTCTGGCCTACTGGATCGGAGCAGGGGAACTCATGAATGCAGGGGTTCGGGTTTAGGGTTTAGGGATTTGTCCTAGACTAAGTTGCATACCCCAGAACCTTAGGGTCTAGGGTTTAGGAGGCTTATGTTGATTGTGATCCAAAAGCTGCATGGTGAAGATAACTCCATGGAACATGCTTTTTTTGCAGAAGAAGTAGGGAGTACAGATCTCAAAGTAGCCCGGCATCGCACCAAGTTTGCCCTTTTTGGGCTAGGGAGGGAAACCTGAATGAACAAATTAACCTGAGCCTTAAACCATTTTCCCCAAAACAAGGGAAGAAGGGGACCGCTCCCCTTCTTTGCTTCACATTTGAATTACCTAAGAACTACCCCTCCTGAACCCTCAAAACCTTAAACCCTAGACCCTCAGCCCTAGAAGACAACGCCTCCGGCGGAGCTGGCTAAGTAAAAGAGCATCGTCAACATCCTGAGGGCAGATGTTGTACAAGGTTTGGGGTTTTGGGTTTAGCGCTATCTTGTGTAGTGGTTGAGGAGAAATAGCCAGATGATTGAACCTGCAAGTAAGAACCCTCAACCTTCAAATCTCAACCCTCAACCCTAAAAGACAGGTAAGGGTTCTTTGAGTCCAGGAGTTTTGCTTTTTGTGGACTTGTGCTAGGTACCTGGGGTTCCTAACCGCAAACCCCTTGGGGGGAGGCTCCTAAACCCTAAGCCCTTAAAACCATAAACCCTAAACCCTTAACCGCAATCCCGAAACCCCTAAACCCCAAACCCGAAACCCCAAACCCTAAACCCTAAACCCTAAACCCTAAACCCTAAACCCTAAACCCTAAACCCTAAACCCTAAACCCTAAACCCTAAACCCCAAATCACGAAAGCCCAGGCGCCGGTTGCGCCGGTGCGTGAGGCGCCCCAGCACCTCCGCACCATCAAATGACGGAACTAAAGGAGGGGCCCTTCTTGTGGGGACCTTTTAGGGGGTTTAGGGTTTAGGGTTTTGGGTTTTGGGTTTAGGGTTTAGGGTTTAGGGTTTCGGGTTTAGGGTTCAGGGTTGAAGGTTTACAGTAAATTCCCCCCGTGTCCTTCATGGTGTCAAGGGGGTATAAGGAGGACCCCTCGAAGTGGCCCTTAATCCTATTACCCCATATACCCCTTCCTACCCTATATAGTCCCGATACACCTAAGTCGCCCCTACTCCCAAAACACAAAAACACAAGAAACTATGGATGAGACACGAAAGCTGCTTGCCGCTGACAAAGAAAGGACTTAGGTTGCGGTGCTTTGGGTTTCTTTGTCAAATCTCTTAACTTCCCACCTTGGAGGGAGTCTTCGCATCGGATTCTGCAGTTCGGGTTTTTGTTTAGGGTTGGATAGGCTTCTGTAGGATCTGTTTTGTTCGGTTCCGGGTTGAGGGATATGGGTAGTTCTCCAAATTGTTCCTGGATTGTGCGGTACTTTGATCAACTGAAATAAGGCTCCTTGCACTTCGTGTGAACTTCCACCCGCCTCAGGCTGCTTCTTGAAGTACTGGGGGTCGAAGAAGTCCCAGTGCGCTTGGTACTGCTGCCCGTGGCGGTACCTGGAGCTTCCCTTAATCAGACCCAGAAAACCCCCAAAATCCCTCCTCAACCTGTGACTTACACCCCGGGCTGCATACAGTAAACCCGAGCGCCCCAAAAGACGTGCCAAAAGGACCCAGACCCCTACAGACCCCAAAGCCAAAACCCATTTATCGGATCCCCCTGACCCTAAACCCTAAACGCTAAACCCTAAACCCTAAACCCCTTTCCGGTCCCGCTACAGACCCTATGCATGCCTCATAACTTGCAGGTTCTCGACACGCCCCGCCACCTCGGCTCGGCTACATCGCAGGAGGACATTGGTCGCTCCCCGGGTGTAGGGTGTAGGGTTTAGGGTTTAGGGCTTGGGGTTTAGGGTTGAGGGTGGGGGGCTTGGGGTTCAGGGTTGAGGGTTGAGGGTTGAGGGTTTAGGGTTTAGGGGTGAGGGTTTAGGGCCAAAGGCTCTCACTTCAGTGGAAGAAAGAAACATTCTACTGGGTCGGCACCAACCCTCAACCCTTTCAACAATGCGCCAGCATTCCAGCAACCCTCCCCCCCCCCCCCCCCCCCCCCCCCCCATGGTAATCCCACGATTCATGGTGGGTTTTGGGTACACCCTAAACCCTACACCCCTATGAACCCTTAAAGCCCTAGAGAAGGCAGGCCCCGAGGCTGCGCCTAGAAGCCCACAACCTGAACCCCTCTTTGAGGAAGATACCAAGCCTCCGGACAGAACATGTGAGGGTTTGGGTTTAGGGCTTCGGGCTGTATAGGGTTTGGGGGTTAGGGCTGCTTCGAGGTTGAGGCTTTACTACTGAACCGGCCGAAGAAGGATCCCATGAACCTTTTCAAGGGCAGAGTCTCGAACTCTTTGACTGCTTTTGGGGGTGGCTCGGCGGGCACTGGCAAGCACGGGGCCCTGAACCCTAAACCCTAAACCCTAAACCCTAAACCCTGAACCCTAGACCCTAAACCCTAGACCCTAAACCCTAAACCCTAAACCCTCGACCCTAAACCGTAAACCCTGAACCCTAAACACCAATTAAACCCCGCCGACCTTGGTCAGCTCTCGGCTCCGATTCATGATCTGGCTCACCAAAGGGTCCTGAACTTCAGGGGCATAGGGACCCCTCCTCCCTAGAAGGGACCCTTCACCCTATTCCCCTGTATACTCCTTATATGGGGGGGGTACCGACAATAGGGGTACCCTTTTTTGGGGGGTCCCAAGGGGATTCGGGTATTAAGGCCGATCTGGGGAAATACCCATATATAGTCCCACATACCTAAGTAGCCCCTATAGAACCCCTGAGGCCCCTTAGAAGGGTCCCTCCTTGCGTCCCTAGGGTTTCGGGGCTTGCGGTTTTTTTTGGGTTTCAGGGTTTAGGGTCTAGGGTGTAGGTTCCCAGGTTTTCGGCTTTTAGGGTGACTTTCGGGGTCTTGAGGCTGGCGGGCCTTGTAAGTAACTTTCTAGGGGGTTTAGGGTCTAGCTAGGGCGTCGGGAATCAGAATTAGAGATCCACCTCAACAGCCTAAAGTCTTCAACTAAAAGGTTTTAGGGTTTAGGATTTAGCGTTCAGGGAATCAAACCTTAAAGCATCCTAGTTCGAGGAGTTCTCCACAGGGTTCGGATCAAGAACCAAGCTCCAAACCTCTTTTTTTGCTTTTGCGTTACGGAGGTTGCCGTGACATTTACACGCTATACCCTGAAACCTCAATACCCAAATACAAAACCTACAAGGCCTTAGGGTGAAGGCCGAATACTGTCACATGAAGTTCGACATTCACCTCCTCCCCCCCCTACCTGCCTTGTACCAAAATTCCCTTTGATCCGAAACGATCATATCTGGGGAATATTTCTTACCCTAAACCCCACGCCCTAAAACAACCCGAAAAACCCTAAGCGTGTACTAGGGGTGCGGACCCGGGAGACGTTTTTGGCGGTATAGGGCTTCCATGTGTGCCTCCCATTTAGGGTTTAGGGTTTAGGGTTTAGGGTTTAGGGCTTCCGCTCCTCTGTCGGCAAAAACGCGGACCAGGAAGACCGAAAGCTCTGCTCACTTTCCATCTCGTGGTTGTCAAACTGCCGGACTTCACCTTGAAAACGGGCCCGAATGAGAACCCGCCCCCTCAACTCCTCAAACCCTCAACCCCCGAAACCCTCTAACACCCCAAACTCCTAAACCCGCAAAAAACTGAATCCCCAAACCCTTGAACTCAAAACCCCTAAGCCCCCAACCCTAAACCCAAAACTTTAAACCCTAAACCCTAAGCCCTATAGCCCTATAGCCCTAAAACCCTAAAACCCTAAAACCCTAAAACCCTAAAACCCTAAAACCCTAAAACCCTAAAACCCTGAAACCCTAAACATACTGCGCCTTGGTGGCTCCACTGTGGAAGCCCGAAAGGACCAAACCCGTAATTCGGGGACTTGTGAGTTATAGGGGTTAAGGGTCCAGGGTTGAGGGTTAGGTTTAAGTTGGGTTCAGGATTTAGGGCTTAGGGTTTGGGTTTAGGGTGGGTTTTAGGGTTTCGGGTCTAGGGTTTTTGGGTTTAGGCCATCCGCTGTCCAACAAATATGCAGCACAGCCAAATGCGAGAGACCACGAGGAGACGCCCGAGCATTCCAATGGATCAAGAATACGGTTGCAGGACACCAAGAGCCCAGAAATCCAAAAGCGATAGCGATTTCCCCATCGACTCGCACTCCCCCCCGCCCCGTTTTGCCCCTTCACACGTCGGAATTCCGACGTGTGAACCCCTTATAGTGTTGACACACATTGCTTGGGGAGATACCTCACAACCCTGAACTTTGAACCCTGAACCTTTCAAAGCCCTAAACCCTGAGAGTCCCGTATAAAACGATACATAGCAGCAAATGTAGAATGTCTCAAAGGCCAACCTACTAAGCCTCACACCCTGAAACCCTAAACCCTAAACCCTAAACCCTAAACCCTAAGCCCTAAGCCCTAAACCCTAAACGCCCAGTGGCTCTTCTTCAGCAGCGGCTTGGCCAGCTTCTTCAGCGCCCGCCGCTCCGCGGCGTCCGCGAAGCCCTCCACGGAGAAGACCACCTTAAGTTTGTGGTTCATAGGGTTCATAGCGTTCATTTATGGGGTTTCTGGGGTTTATGGGGTTTCTGGGGTTTATAGGGTTCATAGGGTTCATTTATGGGTTTATAGAGTTTATGGGTTTCTAGGGTGTATTCTGGGTGGGTGTTTTCTTAAAGGAAGGAAGGCATTGGGTGGCATAGGGTTTGGGGCTTAGGGTTTAGGGTTAGGGTTCTTTGTTTAAGGTCTTTAGGGGCTTTAAGGGTGTAGGTTTAGGGCTCTTGGGTTTAGGCGGTTTAGGGTTTGGGAAGCTTAAGGTAAGTGTTCTTTGGGGCTGAAGATCTTAAGGGGCGTTAGGGCTGTCTATAGGGTTTTGCGTTGAGCGCTTAGGCCTTTTAGTGGCTTGGCGGGTTTGAGACGTATGGTTAGAGGGGGCATTGTAGGCTTTGGGGTTTGGGGCCTGGGGTGGGCTTGTACGGCATATACCTTCAGAGCCCCTATAGAGCAAAAAATCCCCTAGACCCCTGAACCCTATACTCCTAGACCCTTGCAGGTTGCTTGAATGTGTGTGTGTGCTTCGGGGCCTAATTAATTAAAAATAATGAGCATTTGATGTTTTATTCTACATTTGTATTGGGATGACGTCTCAGTTGGGAGTTTACGAATATAGGGGACCCATCCCCAAATAGCAATCATGAAGACCCCGATAAGGTATCCCTAACTTCGGAAACGCCCTTTTTTTTAGTCTCCCTTATTAGTCTCCCGCATGCTGCCCAAGAGCCACGAGTAGGGATACTGAGGTGAGCCATGACGAAGCGGAGCCATGGTCATCAAGGCTTTAGCCATGGGCGTTTCAACAATACAATTCCGCCGTACCGCACCGAACCGTTACCGTACCGCACCGAACCGTGCAGGAAGCTTACCGTACCGCACCGAACCGTGCAGGAAGCTTACCGTACTGCACCGAACCGTACAGGAAAGAATACAACCCACCCTCACCCTCCACCACCTTGCAGCCTCCAGCCACCAACCCCTCCGCCGCTCTGGCCACCCAGCCACTCCAGCCACCCACCCTCCAGCCACCCACGCCCGCCTCCAGCCACCCACCCAGCCCACCCAAAACCTCCAACCACCCACCCCTCCAGCCACCCACCCTCCAGCCACCAGCCTCCAGCCACCGACCCCTCCAGCCACCCTCCAGCCACCAGCCTCCAGCCACCCACCCCTCCACTCCAGCCACCCACCCTCCAGCCACCCCCTCCAGCCACCCACCCCTCCAGCCATCCAGCCACCAGCCTCCAGCCACCCACCCCTCCAGCCACCCACCCCTCCATCCAGCCACCCACCCTCCAGCCACCTCCAGCCACCCAGCCACCCACCCTCCAGCCACCAGCCTCCAGCCACCCACCCTCGATGGGTGGCTGCAAAGGTGGCGGAGGCTGGTGGCTGGATGGTGGGTGGCTGGAGGGGTGGGTGGCTGGAGGGGTGGGTGGCCGGAGGCTGGTGGGTGGCTGGAGGGGTGGGTGGCTGGAGAGTCGACACCACGTTCGTCTACTTAAAGGGGCGAATTCACGCGCTACATTCTATTTCGCTTGTAATATAGCCCCTTTAATGTTCTCTTCACACTTCGTTCAGTCGGTACACTAATTTCGTGCTTCCATTTCATTTCATTCATTTTCATTACAAATTAGTACGCTCTTTCTCTTCGTTCAACCATTCACTCCCCTTAATAGTATTTTGGGAGCAAAGTGGGGCCCTTTTCCACTATTAATACATGGGGAAAAAGCGCACACGAAGCCCCTCAAAATTAGCCCATTAATAATATTGTATTACGGGCGCCCTTTAAAGTCAATGAATATATGCGCCCGTCCTAATATTATTCACTCATGCCGTCTTGATGCCCAGGTTTTGGATTCATCACCCAGTTCTTTCTAGCGGTTACAAATGATTTCCTCTTCCAAAATCCTGTCTCAAAGTTAAGGTTGTAGATAGAGAGTTCCTGTCCTCTTTTCCCCATTAAATGCGCCATATAAAAGTACTCATTATAAGCTTGCGCATGAATAGTGCTTTTATGTAGTAAACTACAATTAAAAGGGGTCTATAGGGAAGGTTCAATAAGGCTTGTGGCTCGTCAATCAATATCTTGTTACGGGCTAGTGACCCACAGTTTTAGTACCATTTCCAAGAGTCATTAACTATAGTATTTGGGGGTGTGAAGAGATTAGTTTTTTGAGGCTTTATAATGAGCCCCGTGAAGCATGAAAGCCGCAATAAAATTATGAACGAAACAAAAACCCCAATTAAAAGGACGAAATGAGGATGGTTTTTTTCACTAAAAGCCCCATTGAACGAGATTATAATGTAATGGCTGAGAAGAAACCGCTATACTATAATATTCTTAGGGGCTTTTATAAAGATTTCCAAAATTCCAAAAAAATCCAAATGAAACCGTTCCTGCGTTTCATTCATTTCGTAATCTTATTTATTGCTCACGCTTTTAATAAGTCCACCAAAATACGCGAAGTGAAAGATTGCCCCTTAAAAGACTGGAATTGGTTCAGTTCATCTTTCTCGCGGTCATGTGATGGATTATGTGATGTAACCGCCAGATAAAAAGGAAGCATGAAGACGGCATCATGTCTAGGGTTTTTCTCTCATCCTTTGTTTCCGGGCGGCTGGAGGCTGGTGGCTGGAGGGGTGGGTGGCTGGAGGGGTGGGTGGCAGGGGTGGGTGGCTGGAGGGGTGGGTGGCTGGAGCTGGAGTGGGTGGGTGGCTGGAGGGGTGGGGGTGGCTGGTGGTGAGGAGGGGTGGGTGCTGGAGGGTGGGTGGTGGAGGGGTGGGTGGCTGCAAACTGGGGTGGGTGGCTGGAGGTGGTGGCTGGCGGGGGTGGGTGGCTGAGGGTGGGTGGCTGGAGGGGGTGGTGGCGGGGGGTGTGGCTGGAGGGGTGGGTGGCTGGAGGCTGTGGTGGGGGTGGGGGTGGGTGGCAGGGGTGGGTGGCTGGAGGGGTGGGTGGGCTGGAGCTGGAGTGGGGGTGGGTGGCTGGAGAGGGGTGGAGGGGTGGGTGGCTGGAGGCTGGTGGGAGGGGTGGGTGGCTGGAGGGGGGGTGGCTGGAGGGCTGTTGGCTGGAGGCTGGTGGGTGGGTGGCTGGAGGGGTGGAGGGGTGGGTGGCTGGAGGCTGTGGTGGAGGGGTGGGTGGCTATGGGTGGCTAGGGGTGGGTGGCTGGAGGCTGTTGGTGGAGGCTGGTGGGGGTGGCGGAGGGGTGGAGGGGTGGGTGGCGGGAGGCTGGTGGCTGGAGGGGTGGGTGGCTGGAGGGGTGGGTGGCTGGAGGGGTGGGTGGCTGGAGGCTGTTGGCTGGAGGCTGGTGGGTGGGTGGCTGGAGAGATGGAAGGGTGGGTGGCTGGAGGCTGGTGGCTGGAGGGGGGGTGGTTGGAGAGGTGGGTGGTGGCTGGAGGGGAGGTGGGTGGTTGGAGGGGTTGGTGGCTGGAGTGGAGGCTGCAAGGTGGGTGGGTGGGTGGCTGGAGTGGTCGGGTGTGGGTGGCTGTGGAGGTTGGTGGCTGGAGGTTGGTGGCTGGGGCGGTGGCTGGAGGGCTAGGGGCAGGTCAGGTGGCTGGAACCGCATTACCGTACCGAACCGGACCGTGCCGTGCAGTACCGAACCGGACCGTGCCGAAAGCCAGCAATACCATGCAATACATACCGCAGCATACCGCAGTAAAGCAATACCGTACCGTACCGATATTAAACAGCCATGGCTTTAGCAAGGCCAAAGCCCCAACCGTAAACCCTAAACCCTAAACCTTACACCTTAAACCTTAAACCCTAGACCCTAAACCCTGAACCCTAAACGCTAAACCCTACACCCTCGACCCTAACCCTAAACCCTACACCGAGGGCAACAGGAGCATGGCTTGGGAAGCAGCTCATCATGATGCCGCTGGGGGCCAGCTGATGTGACATCCTGAGTGCGAAGGAACCTCAGACCTCCTCCATCTGGGTGGAGGGGGAGGCAGTGGCACTTTTGTACTCCGTACTATTGAGAGCTGCCCATGCATGGGCAATTTCTTGTGCTAAGGCAGCACCGCCCAACATGCCTGCCGCTCATCCAGCTTTACGGCCGGCAGAAAAGGAGGAGGTCGGGCGAGCAGTTTGAAGCTGTTTGGCTTGCTTAAGCTTCCATCCGCTCTTGGTCTGAGGAACAGAGAGGCACTTCAGCTTGGCATCTTGAACGCGCGAGGTTGAACCTCAAACAGAGCTTCTTTTCCTGCCGTTTGAGCAGCCCATCGTGACCTCCACGTGCCGACAAGAATGCCTGGAAGAGAGGAGGCCTCATCTTCACACGAGAAGTGCGACAAAATCTGCCACTAACTTAGGGTCCATTTTTGGAGTGCCTTGGAACAGCCCTGATTTCGAGATCTGCCCAGGTGTGGATGAAGATGGCTGGTCACCAGCGACGATGAAAAATGCGCATGCTGGAGGTCAGCTCATGTACGAAGGCAAAATGACATAGCTCGGCTGCATGGTCAACTGAATCACCGTCACAACACACATGGTGGTATAGGTCCGCTGCAAGCAAGCCCATCTGCGCGTGCAGTGATGTAGGCTTGCCGACCGTCACTGCAGTTGTGCTACCTGGTTTTTGGTTGCGGCATAGGCGCCCGGCAAGCTTCCTTCGCACTCTGCGGTGGCGGTGTTGAAAGAAGGTGTGCCAAAGGACTTTTCTGCCTCGAACCTGTGGGGTTCACAGCTGCCCGCCCTCCACAAACGCATCCCGAAGTGGGTCCTGAGTATGCTACATGCATATATCAATCGACATCCCAAAATAACCTTTAACCAGATTCTGCTAACGCCCGGCCCTATATAAAACCATAAGTATCCAGACACGCAAACTCAGGGCCCTAACCCTAAGCCCCATGAGCCCACAAGCCCTAAGCCCTGAACCTGAACATCCTAAGGTCCTAAGGCCGAACTTATTTAAAGCATCACATACCACCCAACCCCGCCGCCTGGCCACAACGGAAGCATGGGGTAAAGCGGGACGCGTGCGCCTCAAGGGCTGCGCACATCATCTTCTGCGCAGCCCCTCGGCGAACCCGGAGCTCTTGAACGAGGTTTCTCCCTCACCCTGGGCCGTCTACGCAAGCCTGCCGACACATAAGGCGTGCGCCTCGCACGGCTTCTTCTTTATTTTCTCGAATCGCCACTGGCCCTTCTTGGACCTTCTGTTGAGACGTCACAAGCTTGCTAGACCCGCTCATATTATTATTGACAATTAATTACTAGTTTTTTGCTTATCAGTCCCCGTCGTCTGGAAGATTCCCAGGATGATGTGTCATTGCACAGCAGTGTAGTAGACTATAGACCTGCGCCCAAGCAGTCCTCGGCCTTCGTAGGCGAGGTTGCGATGGGAGGAGCCTTGACCCTGTGGGAAGGGGGACAAGCCTCACGTTGCATGGTCGAGCAGCTCAGCCAATACGTCCTCAACCGCTCGGACCTGTGCTGTGGCCTGTGTCGGGAACCTCAGCGATCATGACCATTGGCGAGGAGAAGTATATTGCGGGACAGCTTGAACCTATGCTGCGGACTGCCACGAGACCTGCCGCAGGAACCTCAAGCCATCGTGGGAGAGGGACGAACCTCAATCACCACGGGCGAGGAATAGTGCTGCGCAACAGCTCGGACCTAAGTTGCGGACGGCCTCGAGAAAAACCCAACAACCGTGGGAGAGGTCCTCAAGTCACCGTCGGTGATGGATAGTATTGCACGCAGCTTGGCCATGTGCTGTGGGCGGGAACCTCAAGCCATTGCGGAGGCAAGGAACAGTATTGCACTGCAGCTTGGACCTGCGCTGAACCTCAAACCATCATGGGAGAGGGACGAACCTCAATCACCGGCGAGGAGTACAGCGTTGCACGACAGCTCGGACCTATGCTGCGGACTGCCTCGAGAAAAACAACAAACTAGACAAACAATCATGGCCTCTTGGCGATGGAGAGTATTGCACTGCAGCTTGGCCATGTGCTGTGGACGGGAACCTCAAGCCGTCGCGGGAGGCGAGGCCTCGCAACACGCATAGCGGCGCGGCATTGAGGAACCACCGCCAGCATTTGCCCATCTGCAAGCCCGTCTAAATCACATCCCGCACCATCGGACGCCGCAAACTAAAGTTTGCGGCGTCAGAGGGTGCGGCATGCGATTCAGACAAGGCCTCTCGCGTGTGCATACTCATCAGAATCGCACCACGCACCCTCGGATGCCGCAAACCTACATCGGTTCACGGCACCGGAGAGTGCGTGATGCGATTCTGGACCAGCTGTGAAAGACCAAACCCCTAAACCCTAAACTCTAAACCCGCCAAGGAAGCAACACACTCGGACATCACACGCCAGCCACCAAAACGCACCGCAGCCGTCAGGCGGGACGCGTGCATCACAAGGGCTGTGCACATCATCTTCTGCACAGCAAGGGCGCGGGGTAGCACGCGTGCACCAGGCTGTGCACGGCACCTTCCGGATGAACCCCATAACCCCTACCCATGCACACCCCAAAGCCTAAACCCCCTAAACCCTAAACCCTACACCCTAAACCCTAAACCCTACACCCCTCCCACGCGAGGCAGGGGGCCGGTCGCAGCGAGAGGGTGCGCAGCTTCGCCACCGCACCGGGCAGGGCGACGCGGCGCTGGAAGCCGAGGTGCACGGCGGGGTATTGGAACTCCTGGGTCTCAAAGGGTTAGGGTTTAGGGTTCATAAATGTTTTTGGGGTTTAGGTTGGGGTTGAGGGTTGAGGGCTTAGGGTTCATCAATAGGTTTGAGGGTTGAGGGCTTAAGGTTCATAATGGTTTTTTTTGGGTTCGGGGTTGAGGGCTTAGGGTTCATAAACTGGGATTAGGGCAGAGGTTTTATGGGGTTAAGGGTTTGTTCGGGCATGTTTGGGTCTCAGGGCTGACGGTTTAGGACTTGTAAGGGCTTCCCTCAGAGCAAACCCAAACCCTAAACCCTAAGCCCCAAGCCCTATACCCTAGAGGTCAATGCTTAGGGCTCCTAAGCCCTAAACCCTAAACCCTAAACCCTAAACTAAACCCTAAACCCTAAACCCTAAATATGAGGTTCAAGAAGCTTAAAAAAGCTTAGGGCTCAAAGCTCGCGTCCCAGAGTCGCCGCCTTCGAAAAGCAAGAGGAGCGATGCTTGCCCGGCCGCCTCAACCGTTTCAACCTCGGGCGAAGGTTTAGGGTTTAGGGTTTAGGGTTTAGGGTTTAGGGTTTAGGGTTTAGGGTTTAGGGTTTAGGGTTTAGGGTTTAGGGTTTAGGGTTTAGGATTTAGGGTTTAGGGTTTAGGGTTTAGGGTTTGGGGTCTAGGGTTTAAAATTTTAGGGAGTCCGCCTTGAAACAGCCGAAAAGCTGCCAAATGTAACAGTAGGAGCCAGCAACAGGAATGGCAACCCTGAAGCCCGAAACCCTCAACCTCCTTTTTGTGTTGTGTGCAAACCTAAACCCTAAACCGTCAACCTCCTTTTTGTGTTGTGTGTGCACACCTAAAGCCTAAACCCTGAAACCCGAAACTCACCCTGAACTCCTAAAACCCTGAACCCTGAACCCCCATACCCCTAACATCCTGCACCAAAAAAGCCTAAACCCTAAGCCCCTAAAACCCTGACTCCCTAAAACTCGAAACCCCTACAACCCTGAACCCATCAAACCCATCAAGTCCTGAAACCACTATCCCCTAAACCCTAAACCCTAAACCCCTAAAACCCTAAAACTCTACACACCCAAAAACCAAACCATAAACGCCAAACCCCTAAACCCTAAGACCCTAAACCCCTAAAACCCAAAACCCTACAACCCCAAACCCATCAAACACATCAAGCCCATCAAAACCATCAAGCCCATCAAAACCATCTAAACTCCAAACCCGCCCTAAAACCCCTAAACCCCCCGAAATCCCTAAACCCCTAAAAACCCCTAAACCCCTAAAACCCCTAAACCCCTAAACCCCTAAAACCCCTAAACCCCTGAACCCCTAAACCCTCTAAACCCCCTGAAACCCTAAAAACCCCTAAAAAAACCCTAAACCCCTAAACCTCTAAAAAACCCTCAACCAAGGGGCTGGACGGCCCGCCGTGTCGAAGAGCCGCCATGGATGCAGCTCCCACCTTCCAAGGGCTGCATGGAGGGCTTTACCAGGGGCCTTTTTTGTTGGGCTTTTGGGGGGTTTTAGGGTTTGTATGGTTTTGGGGTTTAGGCCCTAAAAGGGTTTTTAGTTGGGGTTTAGGGTTTTAGGGGTTATAGGCGGGTTTTGGGGTTTAGGGCTTTAGGGTTTTAGGGTTTAGGGTTTTAGGGCTTTAGGGTTTGGGCTTTTCTGGCTTTCGGGGCTTTAGGGGTATTTGGGGTCATGTCGGCTGGAGGCTTTGGAGGGTTTTAAAGAGTTTTGAGGGCCAAGAATAGGTGTTGGGGTCTTAAGGGTTTTTAGGGTCACAGCATTTGGAATCTTTGGAGGGTTTGATTTACAGGGCTTAAGGATAAGCAATAGGATACTTAATAGGTCTTGCAGGGCTGGTAGGCCTTATAGGGCCTATAGGGTTTATAGGATCAGTTATAGCATGCCTTTTGGGGCTTTTTGGGTGAAAGGTTGATGTGGGAAGCTATGCATGCTAGTCGCAATGTCTCGGCCGATGCAGTCCGGAGTCTGCTCCAAGTGCATCCTTTCAACCCCAAACCTTAAACCAGACGCCCCGTTAACCCTAAACCCTAAACCCTAAACCCTAAACCCTAAACCCTAAACCCTAAACCCTAAGGAACCCGAAACTTCTCGACGTGTGGGGCCTTGCTGTGGCAACTGGAGTGAGGGGTCAGCTGTTGGGGGCGTTTTGGGTCGTTTAGGAGCAAGCAAGCGCTTGCGATAAGGCCCTTCCCTCTCTGAAAGACCCTCTCGCTTCTTCTTCCTCACCTCTAAACCCCAAACCCCAAACCCCAAACCCCAAACCCTAAACCCTAAACCCTAAACCCTAAACCCAAAACCCAAAACCCAAGACCCAAAACCCAAAACCCTAACCCTGAACCCTGAACCCTAAACCCAAAACCCAAAACCCAAAACCCAAAACCCAAAACCCAAAACCCAAACCCTGAACCCTGAACCCTAAACCCTAAACCCTAAACCCGAAACCCGAAACCCGAAACCCTAAACCCTAAACCCTAAACCCTAAACCCTAAACCCTAAACCCTAAACCCTAAACCCTAAACCCTAAACCGTAGCTTCCCTTTGACTCAGTCCCCTTCCGCACCGCACGTTCAGGGGCCTACTGCTGGGCTGCAGCCATCGCTGGAAGGTGCTCCGGAAAGCTGCCCAGGGCCTGTAGGGTTGGGGTTTGGGGTTTAGGGTTTAGGGCTAGGGTTTCGGGTTTGGCAGTGAGGTGTAGGGCTGATACTTGGGGCTTAGGATTCTGCAGGGGGGCTGGATGTTGATGTGGGGCGGGAAGGGGGCTGGGGGAGCACAGGCCCAGAACCTCAACATTAGGCCTTCAGATCTGTTATTGGGGGGGGCGGGGGGGCGGCTTGAAGGGCTTGGGGCATCTGAAGGTTTAGCAAAAAAAAGGAGGCTTGTCAGGTACCAACTGCCCGAATGAGTTACCAAGAAAGAACAGCCTAAAGCCTAAACTCTAAACCCTAGACCCTAACTCTGGGCTTTCTTGGCTGCGCCACTTTTTTGGGCTGTTTCCAGTTAGCCTGTTGCGGCGGCGAAAAGTGGCCTTGCTTGTAGACTCGCGCTCCAGACCGCTGACAGTCTGATGCTTGCTTCGGCGTGGGGTTTAGGGTTTAGGGTTTAGGGTTCAGGCTTTAGGCTTCTGGCTTTAGGCTGTCGGCTTTAGGGTGGCATGCGCTTCACATCCCAAAGTTCTAGCAAGGCTATGCTGATCTGCCCTTTCAATCTTGCTCCCTGTCGATTTCACGCGCCTGCTTGTCAGACAAGGCGGCCTCTTACGGTGACATTTCATTTGGGCGTTTCCCAAAATAGGGGTTCCCTCCTATACACCCTACATAGAGCAGAATCCCCTTAAAGGGACCCCCCCAAAAGGCTACCCTTATTTTCCTACACCACCATTTTGTTCCCGATCCACGCACAGAACCAGGCCAACAGTTTCGGGAAGCTAGAAGGCAGCCCGAAAAGCCAATCCCGAACCTGCGAGCACCTCCTAACACTTCAGCGCTTCTTCCTCAACCCTAAACCCTATAGCAGCCCTAAATCACGTAAACCACCTAAACCCCAAACCCCAAACCCTAAACCCTCAACCCTGAATCCTAGACCCTCAAGCCGAAACTTCAATGCTCCGCCTGGCCTCGGCACGGAGATGCGTCGAGCGCTGGCCGCAGAGGCATTCGCAAAGAACCAGCCGGAGCGCTTGAGGCCCTTGCGAGATGAAAGTTTTATCGGGTTCCGGGGGTTTAGGGTTTAGGGCTAGGGTTTAGGCCTGGGGTAGTTACATGGTCCTTGAGTATGGGCCCTTTAATGGGGGGCCTGTTTGGAACCCTTTTCGGGAACAAAGTAAGGGGCCGTGAAACTTCCCTTTTAGAGCTTCTTGGTGTCCAGCATCCTAAGGGGCACTGGAGGTTCACCCTCTGGGAGTATACAGGGATGTTTGTACCCCAAAAGGTACCTACTCTACTACTAAATAAGGCGGGCTTTTGTAGAGCATTTGGGGAGTTAGGGATTCTATTGGGGGGGGGGCATATAGATATACCTTGCTCCCGAACTCCCTAGCAAGTCAACCGTGAATGGAAAAACATGGGAAGGCTTTGCATTTTCCAAGGCTAAACATTTCCGTGTCCTAAGGTCTTATCGGGGTTGTGTGATTGAGGTTTGGATGTCAAAAAACACAGCGGTGCTTGTAACAACGACGAAGTTTCGTCAACGGTCGCTTGGGCTGGGGCATGCGCCGTTCAGAACACATGGTCACTTCTCGAAAGTATGGTCTCTTTCGGGGTCCTGATGATAAGGCGGCCAAGATTATTTGGGGCATCCAAAAAAGGGACCGTAATTTCAAGAACTGACGACATAATAGCTTTTTGGAGAGGCCCTGGCAACTGTGGCTCGCGGAAACATAGTGGCTGCCAGTAAAGCCTCCATGCCTCTGCCCCTGGGGCTTAATGGTGGATGAAAGTGCCCTCATCTCACAGTCTAAACCCTGGACTCTAAACCCTAAACCCTAAACCCCAAACCCCAAACCCTAAACCCTAAACCCAAAACCCTAAGCCCAACCCCCAAGGTTTGGGGCTTCGGGCTCTTATAGATCCTGACTTCTTCAAGGGTGGGGCTGTCCTCCCCGGAGTCATCGAGGCAGATGACGTGGTAGCCCTCGGGCCCGTAGCGCTTCCTGGAAGACTTTGGGGGGAAGTCGCGGAACTGCTTCGGGGAACCCTAAACCCTAAACCCTAAACCCTAAACCCTAAACCCTAAACCCTAAACCGAAGGGTTTGGGGTTCAAAAGGGCTTGAACCCGTCAACCCCAAAGGCCGCAACCCCCCAGAGTGGCCCCCGATACTCATCCGAAACCCGAGAACAGCTTCTTTGGGGTTCTCAAAAGGCTTGGGGACGAACACCCTGGGAAGTCTGGAGCCAACACGCCTCGATGCCCCTGAAAAGCCTGAATAGGGACCATGTTGTGCTCAAACCGGGTGGGAATTTGCATTTCTATATATATATATATCTATGTACATATATATATACACATATATATATATATATAATGTTTTTACATTTTTCTACTTTTTGTTGCTTGGGGGGGATGGGTGGGGGGGTGGGGGAGGGAGTTGCCGGAGCTTATGGGGTCAAGGCTTTTGCTCTTCGACCCGGTCAAAGGCCATGAGCCTTGCAAGTTTTCAGACCTAGGTTGGCCCCTAAAGCCCTCTGAAAAATATTCCTGAATATGATCCTCTTAAACCCAAATAAGGAGAATATAACATGTCCCAAGGGCCTACCTAGAGACCTATGGTTCTAACTTCTGGAGGGGTGACAAGTAGGATTTTACCTCCTGCCCGGAAGTTAGGGTCTATAGGGCTCTTCAGGACCTTTCAGGGGCCCATCTACCTTGAGTCCTCTGGTCTACCCCAAAACACCCAACACTCCTGAACCCTCAACCCCCAAAACACCTGAAACCCCAAAGCCCCCCACCCCAGAACCCTAAACCCCTATTCGCGTTTAGGGTTTAGGGTTTAGGGTTTAGGGCTAGAAACCCTATCTTCTTTGAAAGGCCAAGGGGCTCGCGGTGCAGCCACTCGAGGATCTCTGGGCACCAGCGGAGCGTCTCCTCTCGGTTCTGGTTTGGGGTTTATAGGGTTTAGGGCTTGTGGGTTTAGGGTTTAGGGCTAGAGGGTTTAGGGTTTAGGGCTAGAGGGTTTAGGGTTCAGGGCTACAGGGTTTGGGGTTTAGGGTTTAGGGCTAGAGGGTTTAGGGTTTAGGGTTTAGGGTTTAGGGTTTAGGGCTAGAGGGTTTAGGGTTCAGGGCTACAGGGTCTAGGGTTTAGGGCTAGAGGGTTTAGGGTTTAGGGTTTAGTGTTTCATCCCCACCCCCCCTTCTCGGAGTCCTTCGGTGGGGGAACGCTCTCGTCCTCGGGGCCAAAGTCGCAGGCACCTGGTTCGAGGGCTTTCGCGTTCAGGGTTTAGGGCTTAGGGGTGTAGTAAAGGGTTAGGGTTTAGGAGTTAGGGTTCAGGGTTTAGGGTTGGGGGTTTAGGATTTAGGGTTGAGCACAGGGTTTGGGTCTCATGTCTTCAGGATCTTTCTGGGCGTCTGGGTTTCAGAGTGGCGTGGAGTGGTCGGAGAACTGCCACAAATCTTTCATCAAACAACTTAAGCATACTGCAGGATGTCTTACTGCCCTATCAGGTAAAATTCAAGCCGCCCAGGCTGCAGCGCTTCGAGCGGTCCAGGAAGCTTTGCACCCCCGGGTCCTCTCAGGAAGGGTTTTAGGTTTATTTCGGGTTTAGGGTTTAGGGTATAGGGTATAGGGTTTAGGGCTACGGTTGAGGGTTTGGGGTATGGGTTTAGGGTTTCGGGTTTCGGGTTCCAGGCTTTGAGGGGGCTCATAGGGTTAAATCGGGGTTCGGGTTTCAGGGTCTTAGGGTTTGGGTTTTGGGTTTAGGGTTAGGGCTCGTAGGGCTTTTGGGGATTTAGCGTGGGCTTTGGGTTTGCAGGGATCATCGGATTTTAGGGTTTTGGGTTTTAGGCTTTAGGGCTTTAGGGCTTTGGGGCATTGGGGCATTGGGGCTTTCGGGCTTTGGGGCTTTGGGGCTTTGGGGTTTTGGGGCTTTGGGGTTTTGGGATTTTGGGGTTTTGGGGTTTTTGGGTTTTTTGGGTTTTGGGCTTCCCAGGGCTATAGGGTTTGCAAGGTTTAGAGGTCAGGGTGCTCGGTTTTGAGGTTCAGGGCTTAAGGTTTGAAGGGGTGTTGAACTTTAGGGCTTCGACGAATTTTCCGGTTTAAGGCTCTAAGGTTGAGCCTTTAGTGCACTAAAGGGTTTAGGGTTTAGGGTTTAGGGTTTAGGGTTTAGGGTTTAGGGTTTAGGGTTTAGGGTAAATTAGGCATTTAGGGTTTGCAGTGTTTCCGGTCTCAGGGCTTAGGGTTTTGGAGGTCTATGAGCATTGTGGGGATTGAGGGGTTTCAGCTCTATGGGTTTACGGTATATGGGGTTTCAGGGAGAGATTCTTTGGGCTATGCTCTGTAGGCTTTTCTTTGGGATGTATCGTATATGTCCATATGAGCAGTGCTCTACTTTCACGGGTATAGTTGGCTCTGAGCCGCAAGTCCTCCGCCTGCTGGAGCTTCTCCACGACCTCTGTGGGAACGCACGTCGTGACAGGAATCACATTCTGAAGGGTTCTTGCGTTGGGCTTTACAGGCTTCAGAGAGTCGTTCCTGAACACCTTAGCCGTCATATTGAGAACCCTCCAAAACCCTAAACCCTAAACCCTAAAACCTAAACCCCAAACCCTAAACCCTAAACCCTAAAACAAAAACCACAGCAAATCCGACCCCCTTTGTTGGGCGACGTTGTAGGAGGGGAGGACCCGAAACCCTAGACCCCAAACCCTTAACCTTAAGCCCTACACCCTAAACCCGAAACCCTAAACCTTAAGAATCCTGAAGCCTGAGCTTCCGCCTGGTCTCAAGGCAAACAGCTCCAGGCCATCCCAGGTGATGAAGCTCACAAGAAGGCTTTGACCCCTCAACCCTCAACCCTTAAACCCTTAAACCCTTAAACCCTTAAACCCTTAAACCCTTAAACCCTTAAACCCTTAAACCCTTAAACCCTACAACCCTCAACCCTGAATAAACTCTAAACTCTAAACCCCAAACCCTAAACCCCAAACCCCAAACCCTGAACCCTAAACCCTAAACCCCAAACCCCAAACCCTAAACCCTAAACCCTAAACCCTTCGACTCCAGGTTTTGAGGGTTTTAGGGCGGTGTAGGGTTTCAGCTCCCGGCTTGGAGCGGTTGAAGGCCGAATTCGTTCCGGATTCTCCGCTCTTACTCTAGCTCTTCGTAGGGAATTGCCAGAGTTAGGGTTTAGGGTTTAGGGTTTAGGGTTTAGGGTTTAGGGTTTAGGGTTTAGGGTTTAGGGTTTAGGGTTTAGGGTTTAGGGTTTAGGGTTTAGGGTTTAGGGTTTAGGGTTTAGGGTTTAGGGTTTAGGGTTTAGGGTTTAGGGTTTAGGGTTTAGGGTTTAGGGTTTAGGGTTTAGGGTTTAGGGTTTAGTGGGGGGGGGGGGGAATTCGGTACCTCATATACACCCCCTGTATAACCCTTTAAAGGTACCTAAATCCCTAAGTCCCTCAACTAAGAACCAGTTCACCCTTAGAGCCCTTTGAGCCCTGTAAGCCCTATACTCCCGATTAGACCTAGACCCTATGCCTATACTCCCTCGCCCGAGCTCCCTATATTCCCTATAAACCCTCAACCGTTTTAGGGCTTTGGGTCTCTCATGAGCCTGCAAAGCTGCAACCATGTTTGGGTGGTTCTTTGACCCGAGTCTCTTGTTGGCTTCACGCTAGTTGGGGTTTAGGGTTGCCAGTCCTCTGGTAGCAGCAAGTGTTCACTGGCAAAATGCAACCGCAGCTAAAGTTTCCACCATGCTGGAACGCCCTAGCCCACGAAGCTTGGCTTGCGGAGAGCTTCAGGTGTGTTTCAAGAAGACACCAAGCAGGAGGCCTCCTGCGGCAAGGTGGTCGCCGTCGAAATGATGGACGTGAATGCCGCAAGGACTGCACCTAAACACAACATGTTGTTCCTCTTTCTGTTGCGGGGGGGTTGGAATGTTATCAGCTTGAAGTGGTTCGGGATAACTTTGGGGGGTTTCGAAGGTTTGAGGTATCCAGCGTAGAAACTTTCTGAGCAGTGAGACGTCGAAGAAGTGCTTAAGCATTTCGCGGATCCCATCCTAAGGCATGATGCTCAGGCCAGCACTTTGCTTGGGCACCACGCGAGCCGTTCTCTAGATGAGGATGCTCTTGGGATCTTTTTCTGTTTTCAGGCACGCTTCTGCCGACGTCATTCCTGCCCCCAGCTTTCGATTTCGCAGCACTGAACTTGGTTTGCGCCCACTTAATCAAGAGTGTGATCAGCGCAGCTATCCGAAGCCTTGCCACTAGTACAGTCTGGCAGGGAACTGGGAAATCGACTTTGAATCCAAATAGGCATGCTGGGTACACTGTATACCCCCAAACAAAAACAATACAAACCCTTGAAGCCACAGAAACACTATAAGCCCGCTATTCAACCCTCCACCACAAGTACCAAATGCCTCGCAGCCTTCAGTTCAGATAGACCCGGCCATTCAGCTAGAGTCACTTGAGAAAAGTCTTCAACTTATCCTCAACCAAGGTTGGGAGTTCAGGGTTTAGGGTTTAGGGGTTTATAGGGTTTCCAGGGCTTAGGATTTAGGGTTTAGGGTTTGGGGTTTGGGGTTTGGGGTTTACGGTTTAGGGGTTCAGGGTTTAGGGTTTAGAGTTTGGGCTTTGGGCACATGGGCCCTGCGAAATGGCCGGGGCACTGCACAGCTCTTCGTCGGCAGCGATCGGGCTTGACATGCGCGTGCCGAAGCGGGCAAACACCTTGCGCGGGAGACCCCCCGCCCTGCCCGAATAGAAAAGAATGTAGTAGAATAGGAGTGGAATAGGAGTAGAATAAGAGTAGCGTAGGAGTAGAATAAGAGTAGAATAGGAGTAGAATAGGAGTGGAATGGGAGTAGAATAGGAGTAGAATAGGAGTAGAATAGAGTTGAAAAGAAGATCCACCCTGAAAGGGGCATAGAATACCTGACTTCATTGCTGGGCGACTAGGGAACCTTACACCGAAGACCTACACCCTAAACCCCGGGTTTCTTCCTAAACCCTTCTTTCAAGCCTTTAAGCCATATAAACGCCGTATCAGCCATCACAGCCATAACAGCTCCATACCCCCTATATAAGCCCCATCAAAAAAAGCTGTTTAAACCCTAGGTAATCCGGATATAAACCCTTGTACCCCCCCCCCCCCGGCCCCCCCCAGGCTCGTAAGCAAAGTGACGGCTCCCGCCACGTCAGCGCAGGTCTCGCCCACATGCCCCAGGTTGCGGCCTCGCTTGGGGTAGTACTTTCGCAGTTGAGGGCTTAGGGCCGGCTTAGGGGTTTACAGTAGGGCTTCGGGTTTGAGGCTCGGGTTTTGGGTTTTGGGCTTGGGTTTTTGGTTCGGGAAAGTCGTTGGGCCTTCGGGGGCTTTCAGGGTTTTAAGCGAATTCAGAATGCTTATAGGCGTGGGGCCTTTAGAATAATAAGAGACGAAAGATGCGTTCGTACCACCTGATTCGGCGTTTTGGTCCTTGTCCCGATCCGGCGACCAGCAAGACTTGTCTTCCTCCGGCAAATGCCTCTGGCACAGACAGCTTTGGCCAGGAAGGCGATTGCATCTCTAACACCTCTCCAGGCCAGCGTCACACATGTGGGATGTAACGGAGCTGCCATACCGAGGGATGCCCATTGGGTTTGAGGCCTTCCTCCAGCATCGGGCCGAATGGAAACCTTTCGTCGCGGAAGTTTGAGCTTCATCTTGCTTAGGCATCTCCTTTGGCAATCCACGTTGGCAGACACGACCAGGACGTCGCACTGATCCGTGCGCACGTGCAGTTTAGGGTTGAGGGTTCAGGGCTGTATGATTCAAGGGGGATGTAGGGAGTTTTTGGTCTTGCAAGGTTCAAGGCACCACTCCAGGAGCACTGGGGGAAGGAGGAGAGAAACCTGCGAAGCCGAAACCCTAAAAACACACACGAATTACAAACCTGCAAGCACAGAATGTTGTGCTGATCTGGCGAAAACGTGCATATTTCATGGTGCTCAAACAAGGGGTTGGGGAGGGTACGTAAATATGGGGTGCTTGCTACCAATACAAAGGGCCTTCACCATGGATTCTCGTTGTAGTTGTAGGCAGCTCCTCCGCTCGCTAAAACACTAGATAAGGCCCTAAACCCAAGCACTGAACCCAACACCACACCCCTGAACCCAAAACCCTAAAACCCTAAACCCTAAAGGACACCGGGCGTCAGGATTTCTCAAGCAGCGCTGCAGCATCCGCATAGGTGTGCAGCTGAGGCCATGCCTCCAAGAGGGACCCCTAAACTATATCAAGCCTCCTAAAGCAAGCATTGTATAGGGTTGCTGGGCTTCTAGGGCTTAGAGGGCCTATTTGGTTTATATGGCATATAGGTCTCCAGGGCGTTACAGGGTTTAGGGACGTGCTTCCGCTTCTGTCTGCTTCTGTCTCTGTTTTTGCTCTGGAAGTTAGCATGATCGAGAGACGTGGGTACGTATTGTGGGCAGTTTACATGAAATCTTACAAGGACCACAAGGAAAGGAGCATGAGGGGATGGTGTTGATAAGTATTCCAACAGAGTTAGGGTTCAGGAGCCCTAAACCCTAAACTCTAAACCCAAACCCCTTAAAACACCGTGAATCCTAACCCAAGGTACGCTCCCGACTCCCGACGTCTCCCCCGAACCGTGCGGCGTAAAGTACCTCTTTGGGATAAATCTCGGCGAGACAGCCCAGGGCAGCGCCTTTGCTGCCTGACGGGGCGCTTACGAAGGGTGCCCGAATCCCTAAACCCTAAACCCCTAAACCCTAGACCGTCTGGCTTCATCTCGAGTCTAAAGTCCCCAAGACTGTACATGCCGAGAACAAGGTCTTGAGGCATATGATACTGATGATACTGCGGAAGATTGGGGGGACGGTCTTCCCAGCTTCCGACTTAAAGCCTAAACCCTAAACCCTAAACCCTAAACCCTAAACCCTAAACCCTAAACCCTAAACCCTGAACCCTGAACCCTGAACCCTAAGCCCTGAACCCTGCAGATGCTATGTAACCGACTCTTACTTCGGAGGGCGGCCCTCTAAAGCCCAAACACCCTAAACCCTAAACCACCCTAAACCCTAAACCCTAAACCCTAATCCCTAAACCCTAAACCCTAAACCCTAAACCCTAAAACGCCTCCCGAAGATGTTCCGAAATTGGAGCCTTTTTGGGGGCCCGGAAACCAAAGGGATGGAGGGCTATCAAGTTTAGGGTTTAGGGTTTAGGGTTTTGTTTAGGCTTTAGGGCTTAGGGTTTAGAGCAAGAGGCAAGTAACATCGCCAAGATTGGAAGAAAACACGATGCCCTTTCGATTGATTGGGCTTCGGCCTAAACCCTAAACCTAAAACCTCGAACCCTAAAACCCTAAAGCCCTACAGCCCTAAAGCCCTGAGGCCCTGAAGCCCTCCTTAAGCCCTAAAGCCCTAAAGCCCTACAGCCCTAAAGCCCTAAAGCCCTAAAGCCCTAAAGCCCTAAAGCCCTAAAGCCCTAAAGCCCTAAAGCCCTAAAGCCCTAAACCCCAAGCCCTAAAACCCTAAAACCCTACAACCCTAAAATCCTAAATCCCTAAATCCCTGAAACCCTAAAGCCCTCAAGCCTAAACTCTAACACCCTAGTCAAACAACCCTAAAGCCGAAGAAAACCACCAAGCGCCTCCTCCATCTTGCTTCACTTGGCAGGTTCCCTAAACCGTTTTTTCCAATAAGGTTTAGGGCTTAGGGTGTAGGGGTTGTTTAGGGTTTAGGATTTTAGGGTTGGGGTCACCTTTGTTGGGGACCTGTTCTGTGTAGGAGTTAAGGGGCCCAATTTTGGATAAACCCCGACTTCACAAAAACCCTAAACCCAAAAACCCAAAACCCTAAACCCCAAAAACCCTTGCACACCACGCCCGGCCTTTTGATACGTCCGATGCCTGTACGGCCGCAGACACCATGAGGCTCAGCCTTGGAGGGCGCCGCGTGACTGTCCCAAAAACCTACCAAAAAAAACGAAACCCGAAAACACTAAAGCCCACGGGCGGCCCGGGTTTGGAGTTTAGGGTTTAGGGTTTAAAGGGCTTAGGGTTTAGGATCTAAGGACTTAGGGTTTAGGGTTTAGTATTACATTTAGGGTTTAAGATTTAGTGTTAAGGGGTTCAGACCTCAGCTCCCACTCAACAGCCCCAAGGAGCTTCCCGAGTTGAAAGGGCTTGCTGCAGGAATTCGGGGTTGAGGGCTAACTGTCTGGGTGCTAGAACTTCTGTCAAGTTGCCATAGAGCAGAAACAACACGGTGCGAATAATTCGAACCCTAAACCCTAAACACCTAAACCCCTAAACCCCTAAACCCGAAAAGCAAAAGGCGAGGTTTCCTTCGAGTGGCGTCCCAAAGAAGTGCCACAGCGCCATGGCCATGTGGACAAGTTTGGGAGCGGAGCGTTTGTTTGCCTTTTGTTGAGCCTCAACTCTGCGAATTCTTCCTGGTTGAGAGCTGGGGGCTTTAGGGTTTAGGTTTTGGGCTTGTAGAGTTTAAGGGCTTAAGGGTTTAAGGGTTTGTAGGGTTTAAGGGTTTGGGGATGCATGGTGTTTTACAGGGTAGGGGATTTTGGGCCATGCCCCCCTTACCTGCCTTATGTGTTGCACCCCCCCCCCCCCCCGGTCGGCCCCAACTACACGTAGGCGCATATTCCCAACCACAAGGCTTAAGGAACTTGAATAGGTGAAAAGGCTTTCAAATCCCTGAAAGAGATATATATATATATATATATTTTTTTTTTTTTTTTGGGGGGGGGGGGGGAGGGGGGGCATACACCCTGAACCCTCAAACCCTAAACCTACACCCCAAACCTAAACCCTAAACCCTAAACGCCTAGACCCTCAAACCCTGAACCCTAGCCTAGTTCTTACATGCCCTGCTGAGAACCCATAAGGAACTAGACTCAAGAGTAACCTAGACATGAAAAAGGCTGCCTTTTTTCGTTTTAATGGCGGTTGACAAGGGGACCCAAAGCCCTAAAAAGGGGGAATCAGGGACTTACTCTGGGTCCTAGTGGCCCTGAACCCTAAACCCTAAACCTTAAAAAACAACTTACTCTGGGTCCTGGCAAACATGGAGCCAGTTGCCAGCCCCCAGTTTTGCTTAAGGGCTCCAAAGCAAGGTTTTTTGTTGGGGGGAGGGTTGAGGGGGTTAGGGTTTGGGGTTTAGGCTTTGGGGTTTAGGGGTTTAGGGGGTTAAAGGGCTTTGTGGCTTTCAGAGTCAGTTTCGGGGTTTAGGGGTGAAGGGGGATCAAGGGGTTTAGTCAACAGTTTCGGAATTTGGGGGTTTGGGAATTTAGGGAGTTTAGAGGGTGTAGGGTATCGGGGGTAGGGCTTCTCGGGGATTTAGGACTACAAATTTTAGGGGTTGAGCATAAGAAACCCTAAACCCTAAACCCTAAACCCGTAACCCGTCAACTGCTCAGCCTTGGCCCAGGCAGCTCACCACTGTGCCGACCTCCAAACGCTTGCGACGTGCAGTCCCGCTTCAAGGGCAATGGCAATGAACGCAATTCGGATACTTGGGATGTTTCCTCCCCCTGAGGGTTTAGGGTTTAGGGTTTAGGGCTTGGGGTTTAGGGTTGAGAAGTTCCTCCCCCTTACACGAGCAGCCCCTAGTAGGGATGAAAAGTACCCCCTATGCTCATCCCCATCAAGGACTGTTAGTGTAAGGGGGAGCATTTCAACAGATACTCATCTTCGTAGTAGTTTCGGAAGATGTGATTTTACCAAGCAATCCGAAGAACCTTGCTATAAAACACCTGGGTTCAGAACCTGGGTTCAGAATATTGGCACGTATTGGGGCTCACCATGCTGATGAGCATTAGGGCTCGGGGTTGTGAGTCATCCTTGCTTTAGAACTGAGGACCTCCTGACAAAGCGGTGCGTGGTAGGACTTCCTAACAGTAGAGAAAGTGCCCCTTCTTGGTTAAAACGGGTTTTCTCAAGGGACCCCAACTTTAAAACATATGCCTCAACCCTAAGCCCTACTACCAACTGTGAACCGTATACTCGGATAGCCCCATCTGCCCAGAAACCCTAAGCCCTCCCAGCCCCCCTCCTCCCCCCACCCCCGAAAAAGAAAAACAAACAAACTTAGGGTTTAGGAGATAAAGTTTTAGAGGTTTATGGTATAAGCCCTCGAAGCCCTAGAACCCCGAAGCCCTAAACCCTAGCCCTAAACCCAAAACCCAAAACCCTAAACCCTAAACCCTAAGCCCTAAACCCTAAACCCCAAGGAGGAACGGGGCGCTCGGAGGGAGAGGCCTCCGCCGTCCAGTTCGAAAGGTTGAAGTCATCGGGCCACTGGCTGGCGCCTCTTTGATCGTTCTTCTCCCTTTCTTGTGTTTTTTTCTTGTTTTTTTCTCTGGGTTTAGGGTTTAGGGTTTAGGGTTTAGGGTTTAGGGCTTAGGGCTTAGGGTTCGGGAGCCTTTGGGAGTATTGAGGAGTGTTCGGGAACTTTGCTGGACTCCCAGCATTCGGCTTGAGGGCTTCGGCTTTTGCAATGCTTCTTTCGTTACGCTGGAACCCCGAAACCCCAATAGCCCTAAAACCCCCAAACTCCAAAAACCCTAAAGCCCCGCCTAAAACCCTACAACCCCTCAAGCCCTGTAAGCCCAATCACCCTAAACCCAAAAGTCCTAACCACTAAACCATAAAACTTGAAGCTCGAGAAAACTCCAAAACCTGCAAACTTCAGGTATATTGTGGGCGTCTTTGGGCGCTGTTGGGGCTCTACGGTGCCTTGGGCCGGGTTTAGGCTTGAGGGTTTAGGGCAGTTTGGGGTTTAGGGTTTAGGGTTTGGGTTTAGGGTTTAGGGCAGTTTGGGGTTTAGGGTTTAGGGTTTAGGGCAGTTTGGGGTTGCGGGTGCAGGATTCAACCTTTGCCCTCGAAACCCCAAAGCCATGTGCTCTTTCTTCTCAATTGGCTTCTGATGAATCTTCTAAAGGGGATATTTGGGCTGGCGTCTAGGGTTGAGGGTTTAGGGTTTAGGGTTTAGGGTTTAGGGTTTAGGGTTGACCTGAGCGACAACAGAGACATGACGAAACCTTGGGGAGTTTCGCAGCCCCTTCCTACTCTCCAGTCTGTCGAAGTCGCTTCTCGCCTAGGAAAGTGGCCAAGCTGTTCGACTTGCTTGCTCCTAACCCCAAAATCCACAAGAACAGAACAAAGCTAGATCAAGTTCAAAGAGGGCTCCGAATCCTGCAGCTAAAGGAAACGTTACCTAAAAACTGTTTCGGGCTTCGGGTTTAGGGGTTTAGGGCCTGGGTTAATACCAACCTGCAAATTTAGCGCCTTTTTTTACCACCCTAGACCTGATACCCTAAACCCTAAACCCTAAATGCCAAACCCCAAACCCTAAACCCTAAAGCCTAAACCGAAAAGAGCCCCCCTGAAAGGAGCTCTCAGAGTTGCGGAACGCCGAGGCTGCCGCCTCCAAACACCTCGGAGTACCTGAGATCCCTAAAACCCTAAACCCTAAACCCTCAACCCTAAACCAGAAACCCTAAACCCTCAACCCTAAACCCATTGAGGCTACTGTTTAAGGGCCCACAAGGTTTATGAGGGTTTATAAAGGTTTTTATCATGGTCTTATGAGGGTTTTTACGGGCTTAGACGGGTTACTAAGGGCAAGGGTTTAGAAGGGTTTTAGAAGGGCTTATAATGGGTTTAATGTTTAGGGTTGAGGGTTTCAAACACCTCTCACTACAGGAAAACCCCCACTGCGCACAAATATATAACACTCCCTGAGAAGCCTCTAACCTCGTAGTCCACATCGTGCTCTAGCAGCGGCCACTTGGAGAATGCCCGCCTGGCTTCGACACGCTAGAGACCTGTGGGTATGATGTTCCTAAACCCTAAACCCCTAAACCCCCAAACCAAGAGAACCAGAGGAGACGTAAGCACAAAGAGCCCTAACCCTAAACCCTAAACCCTAAACCCTAAACCCTAAACCCTAAACCCTAAACCCTAAACCCTAAACCCTAAACCCTAAACCCTAAACCCTAAACCCTAAACCCTAAACCCTAAACCCTAAACCCTAAACCCTAAACCCTAAACCCTAAACCCTAAACCCTAAACCCTAAACCCTAACCCTAAACCCTAAACCCTAAAACCCTAGACCCTAAACCCCAAACCCCTAAACCCTAAACCCTAAACCCCTAAACCCTAAACCCTAAGCCCCTAAACCCGAAACCCTAAACCCTAAACCCCTAAACCCCTAAACCCCTAAACTCCAAACTCCTAAACTCGTAAACCCCTAAACCCCGAAACCCTAAACCCCAACACCCCAACACCCCTACACCCTGAAACCTAATTCCCTAACCCCTAAACCCCTAAACCCCAAACCCCCAAACCCTAAACCCTAAACCCTAAACCCTAAACCCTAAACCCAAAACCCCTAAACCCTAAACCCTAAACCCCTAAACCGTAAACCCTAAACCCCTAAACCCTAAACCCCTAAGCCTCTAAACCCTAAACCCTAAACCCCTAAACCCCAAAACCCCAAAACCCCAAAACCCCTAAACCCCTAAGCCCCTAAACCCGTAAACCCCTGAACCCTAAACCCTAAACCCTAGACCCTAAACCCTGAACCCCTAAACCCCTAAACCCTAAACCCCCCCAGAACCCTAAACCCCTGAACCCCGAATCCTGCAGCTGGGGGGCGAAGTGTAAACCGTGCAGTCTTCGGGCAGCTCGAATCCCACGGGCCTCAGGTCTGCCACATGTCATGCAGTCCCTAAAGGGGTCCAAGGGGTTCAAGGGGTTTAGGGTTTAGGTTTTAGGGTTTAGGGTTTAGGATACCCTACATATGCGAACGTGGCAATATACTCATGCATCTCGAAAGGCAGCACTGCTCTTGCAACGCTGTTGCGAGGCGAGCTCCACATCTGCTCCGAGCTAAAGATCGTGGTGGCGTTCCCTGTAAGCTTTGCGAGGAAGACCTCAGATCCTCGTGTCATCGTCCAAGCCACGATCCGATCACTTTGGCTCAAGAGCCCCCTTACAGCGGCCGCTTTTAGGGCTTCTGAGAGCAAGTGGAGCACAAGGCGTTCCTTATCCGGAAACGGCAGGAATCATCGAGCTCCAATCATGCATTACTATGCTTGATGGTATGTATTTTCAATATACCATCATAAGAGTTTAGAGAGAAGGGTTTAGGGTTGGGAGAGAGTTTCGTGGACTGCTGTGGAGACTTTAGGGGGGTTTTAGGGCATCTGGTATTTGCGGCTTGGGGGATCTAGAGTGTGTAGGGGCCTTTAGATGGCTGGTTGATGGTGGAGCGTTGAGGGTTGAGGGGCTTCCCGACTCAGTTCGCGCGGAAAGCTGGCCTCTTGAGCTGTTGCAAGTGGCTTGAGGATGCTTAGCTTCTCAGTAGC